CGCTTACTAACTTAAAAGTTATAGTATGAAAATTATAACAAGCACAAAATGGTTACGAGGTCGGTCCCAAGGAACGAACCCATGCTGAAAGAGTTAACACTATGTTGAGAAGACCTTTTGTTTGAAGAGGATTGATATTATAAATTATTTTAAATCAGTTACTCCAGTATAACCTGCAGGTACATTAGAGTTTTTGATGTTGGTTAATTTGAAAGAGAAAAGCATATATATATCACAGTAAGGTAGGAATAACAATAATCTTTTATAGGTGTTCCTTAAGAAAGTTTAACTAAAACATTATTTTGATGTTTACGGTTTATCTGTTACTGTGTATTTTATCAAAATCTTCATTTGTTATTTCAGTAAAAGCATATTTTTTTCTAATAATACCCCTTATGCATCTGATTTTTGTCATTTTTTATGTATGTGTGTGTATGTATGTGTGTTCTTATATTTCTTAAGGTTTGGAAACATTTTGTTTGTCCAAAGTATGTTGTCTGTTTTATTCCATCGGTTTAGATGTCTTTGAGTATTCATGATATAAACCTGCCATACTGTCCTGGGAGTCTGTGGAGAATTGGTGTAAAAAAATTTGAATGAATGTGAGCAAAAAAGTCCACAAAAGAAACATCATGGCTAGCTACAGTAGCATTGTGTTGGAGAGAGTTGTTCTTGATGTGCTTGGTCCTCTGCCACAGAGTAACAGTGAAAATAGACACGTTATGGTTGTGATGGACTATTTCACCAAATGGCCTGAAGCATATGCTGTTCCTAACTAGGAAGCTGGAAATCTTTCAAAAAATGTTTGTAAAATTTCTTTTAAGATTTGGTGTTCCTATGACACTTCACTTGGATCAGATTTGTTTGGGGAAATAAGTCGTATCCTTGGGATTATTACAAAGACCAGAACAATATCCTTTCATTCATCTTCTGATGGTGTGATGTAGAGATACAAATGCACACTGTTAAATCAGTTACATATGTATGTGGATGAACATCAGAAAACTTGGGATCGAGGTTTTCCACTATTACTGACGTAATACGTATCGAGGTTTTCCACTATTACTGACGTAATACGTATCGAGGTTTTCCACTATTACTGACGTAATACGTATCGAGGTTTTCCACTATTACTGACGTAATACGTATCGAGGTTTTCCACTATTACTGACGTAATACATATCGAGGTTTTCCACTATTACTGACGAGTTATCATACAGCAGTTTTTGAAACTACCAGCAAGACCATTGTCACTTCTGTTCTCTTTTCTGGAGTTTAGTCACTAAGGAAAGTCCTGCACAAAATATCTAAAAAGAATAAAGAACATCATTGATGCCATACATGAAAATAAAAGAAAAACTTAAATTAAAATGAAAAGTCATTGTGATGTTGATAAGACTGGATTCCATCAATGTGACATGTTATGACTGTACAATCTACACTGCAAGAAAAGGCAAACTATAAATTTAAGCAGTTGTTGGGAAGGGCCATTTGCTGTACTGAAAAGAATTAATGATGTGGTTTACAGAATCAAAAAGGAGGGACAATCCAAGCTGAAGGTTATCTACTGTGATCATCTTTGGAAGTACATCAGTGAGAGAATAGCCAACTGAGTAATTCCAGAGAAAAACTTGTAAGCGGAATTTTAACTGGTGGAGGAGCCAGAAGTTCCTGATGAGATTACTTCCAGATGATCATCAAGGATGGAGCTGCCAGTGGATTCACTCAACCACATACTAAGCGACAGGATGGCTAATGTCAGCAAGGGACAAAGCATTTCATCAGTATGCTATGGGCCTCAGAAGAGAAAACCATCAAAAAGGCTTGGTGAATGGACAGTTCAATATAGTTTTATTTTTGTATTAGGATTGTTCAAAAGACTTCACAATCGAGGAAGGAAGTAGTGTTATAAGTTATATTTCTCTTTAATGTTGCAATGTTGACTTGAAAGAGCTGTGGGATATAATAATGATATTAAGATCAGATAAGCCTAGAACACCTGGAAAATTCTAGGGGATCTGACATCATATTTTGTACTGCATTCATGGGTAGATTATAAATATGGGGTGAGATGAGAATGGAGAAAATAATTAAGAACATAGAAGGGGTTGTTTCAAGATATTAGAGGTATTTCTTACTGGTACAGCAGATTAATCAGAGTTTCTTTTTCTTTTAGCTCTGCAGTGATACAAGTAATTTATTCTTTATGTTAATGTAATGTAGTTAGTGTCATTTGTAAATATGGCCTACAACTGTGTAAAAAAACATCAAGGAAGAAATGAATTAATTTAAAAGTATCCTTCAATATGAAATTCCTTGATTGTAGGTGTTTCATTGTGGTCTTACAAGAGGTTTTTATTCTCCTCTTTTTTTATAGTACCAAAGCTTGAAGGTATAAAATGGTTTTTCTTTCTCCTCATCTGATCTTGGAAGACTATTCTTTTTTTGAAGATTTATGTTTTGTTTTATGACAAGTTTCAAGTATTTTAATTTTTTACTTCCAACTTCTTGTTCACAATCAATAACATCCATGGAAAGTTAGTTTGATAATAAGAAAAACATAATATTGTTTGTAGCAGTTAAAGTGAAAAAACTATAGTACCTGGAACAACCTACTAAAAAACTTGAAATAAGAGAAACTAGTTTCAACATATTTGTGCATCCTTTTCTCTCTCTCTCTCTCTCTCTCTCAGTCTTAGGAACTGTTCTACTGTAGCTGCACTTTCAACATTAAACTTGTCTCTGTCAACACAAGTTTTATCGAATACTGTGCATGCTGTTATTCTAAAATCCATCAACAATGAAGTCTAATTCCGTAGTTGTGGATGAGCCAGTTTGATTTCTCCAGCTGTTATGGTCATTACTTTTACTTTTTCACTGTTTGTAAGAGCATATGGGCTCAAAATGTATTCCAAACTTGTAGGAATATTTTTGTTGTTGTTTAAAATACTCTGACTATAACTGTTTTGATATAATATTCTATCAGATTTTACTGTGACATGTTCTCCATTAATGTCAACAGATTCTAAAGAAAATTATTCGTTTTTCCCTAGTCTTCTTCATTTGTTGCATGACTAACTGTTTTGAGGAAATATTTTATTAGATATTACTGGAACATGTTTACAGTTAATGTCAACAGGTTCTAGAGAAAATTCTCTTTTTCCTAGCCTTCATCATTTGTTTTATGATCTTTTCTCAAGTTTCAAAATGAAATTGTGTACTGTCACAAAATATATATTTAAGTTGTTTATTAACCCTCACTATGGATAGGTGATAGTGCACATCTCAGATTTTTAGAGTTACGTTCAAAATTTAATGAAACTACTTTATTATCATGGTATAACAAATAAATTTGGCATCAAAATATAGTTACTGAGTCAGATTTTATTATCATTTAAGTTTTAAGTTTTTGATTTTATAACAAAATATTTTTAAAAATTTGCAGTCTCATCCTAGTATCACAATTGTAGCATTTGCTCTTAAGGTCTCCCTTCTTTTCTAATATATTTACCTCCCCTCCCAGGAGTATTGAATTTAATGTAAATTACTCATTATAATATAGTTATTACTCA